AGTAAAGGCAGAATATCAAGAAAATAATTTTTTATTATTTTATATACACACGTTTTCGGATCTTACACACATGCAGCAGGGAAACCTCGTTTATCAGTGCCTTCAACAACAATTACACAAATTTCTCATTTGACTGTTTCCTGATCTTCCATGGAACCATGTGGTTAAGGTAATGAGGTGATCATAAGACATAGTTTGATAAGACATAGGACAGCTGACCACCTGCTTGTTGTGTCACGGCCCTTAGACTGATCTCTTTAAATGAACAACATGCAGCCAGTGCTTTGTGTTAAACACAGGCTGCCCACCCATAGAAAGAGGTCATTTTTGCAAGCAGCATACCACAACCCATAGTTACACTTTAATCTTAAGCGACACCTAACACAAAGCTGTGACAAAGTGACAAAGGACTCTAGTGGCCATAGTAATTATGATAAGACAAAAAAAGTCAGGTGATATTATAGAGCTGCAAACTCTGGGAGGAGGTTGAGATGGATGGATGGATCAACAAAACACCACCAGAAGACCACTGTTTCCCATTTCAAACTGACAGTCAATGCTGTTTCTTTTAACAATGATCATGATCATTCTATAACCTTAACCACCGGTTTATTGTTGTAGCCATGACAACACACATGGCTAACCCTAACCCTACCTATTTTAACTCAAACTACAACCTTTCCTTAAACCTAACTAACCCTAATGACTACTGCTGTTCTCCATCCAGCCATTGCCCACTTAGAATCAAAGAACTCTGAATGCTGTTCCTAGACTTCAGTTCAGCATTCAACACAATAATTCCCCAGCAGCTTACACAAAAACTTGGACACTTGAGATTCAAAACCTCTCTCTGCAACTGGGTGCTGGACTTTCTAACAGGGAGGCCACAAAATGTGTGGGTCAGCAGCAACATCTCCAAGACCCTGAGCACATTATCCACAGACTGGCTGTTAAATGTGGAACAAGAAATGTGAATTAGGTGTTCTTGTTCATCTGCTGCCATCACTCTACCCATGAGCAAAACTTTAAAAGAGAATGTCTCAAAGTGATGCGCAGTGGCCAACAGCGGAGGCCCTTTGTTGCATGTCATACCCCTCTCTCTCCCCTTGATCCCTGTCTGCTGTCACTATCACAAAGTAAAGGCAGAATATCAAGAAAATAATTTTTTATTATTTTATATACACACGTTTTCGGATCTTACACACATGCAGCAGGGAAACCTCGTTTATCAGTGCCTTCAACAACAATTACACAAATTTCTCATTTGACTGTTTCCTGATCTTCCATGGAACCATGTGGTTAAGGTAATGAGGTGATCATAAGACATAGTTTGATAAGACATAGGACAGCTGACCACCTGCTTGTTGTGTCACGGCCCTTAGACTGATCTCTTTAAATGAACAACATGCAGCCAGTGCTTTGTGTTAAACACAGGCTGCCCACCCATAGAAAGAGGTCATTTTTGCAAGCAGCATACCACAACCCATAGTTACACTTTAATCTTAAGCGACACCTAACACAAAGCTGTGACAAAGTGACAAAGGACTCTAGTGGCCATAGTAATTATGATAAGACAAAAAAAGTCAGGTGATATTATAGAGCTGCAAACTCTGGGAGGAGGTTGAGATGGATGGATGGATCAACAAAACACCACCAGAAGACCACTGTTTCCCATTTCAAACTGACAGTCAATGCTGTTTCTTTTAACAATGATCATGATCATTCTATAACCTTAACCACCGGTTTATTGTTGTAGCCATGACAACACACATGGCTAACCCTAACCCTACCTATTTTAACTCAAACTACAACCTTTCCTTAAACCTAACTAACCCTAATGACTACTGCTGTTCTCCATCCAGCCATTGCCCACTTAGAATCAAAGAACTCTGAATGCTGTTCCTAGACTTCAGTTCAGCATTCAACACAATAATTCCCCAGCAGCTTACACAAAAACTTGGACACTTGAGATTCAAAACCTCTCTCTGCAACTGGGTGCTGGACTTTCTAACAGGGAGGCCACAAAATGTGTGGGTCAGCAGCAACATCTCCAAGACCCTGAGCACAGGGGCTCCGCAGGGGTGTGTGCTCAGCCCATTGCTCTTCACACTGCTGACCCACGACTGTGTGCCAACCTACAACACCAACCACACTGTCAAGTTTGTGGATGACACGACTGTAGTTAGCCTTGTTACCAACAGTGATGGGGCCAACTGGTTCAGTGGTGTAACAACCTCTTCCTCAATGTGGGGAAGACTAAAGAGATCATTGTGGACTTTAGGAGAAAACCTCTAAAGCATCCCCCACTGACCATCGATGATGCTGTAGTGGAGAGAGTGAGCAGCACCAAGTTCCTGGGGGTGCACATCTCTGAGGACCTCTCCTGGACCAACACCACAACACTGGCCAAGAAGGCTCAAACACACTTCTACTTCCTCCACAAACTGAGGAGAGCCACTGTCCCACCCCCCCATCATGCGCTCCTTCTACTGGGGCACCATTGAGAGCGTCATCACTGGCTGCATCACTGTGTCGTACGGAGCCTGTACTGCCTCCTGCAGAAGGACCCTGTAACGCATAGTGAAAACAGCCAGCACGATCATTGGTGCCCCTCTGCCTTCCCTTATGGACATCTTCAACACCTGCCTGATGACACCTCACACCACACAAACTCCCACTTCAGGCTCCTGCCTGAAGTGGGAGTTTGTGGTCAGAGTCTTCACGCCCACTCCACCAGACATACAAACAGCTTCATTCACCAGGCTGTGAGGATGCTGAACACTGTTCACTACCTCTGCCCCTGGAACGTAACCCACCACAGAACATAAAAAAATATAGAAAGACTACCCCTGCTGCTGCACAACCTCAATACATTCCCCCTTTTTATTATATTACAGGTAAATCTGCTGCTGACTGTTGTGGAAACAAAAAAAAACTACCTCTGCTGTTTTACTGTCTGTCATGTTATCTGCTGCTGCTGCTGACAGTTGTTTTTTTTTGCTGCTGTTGGTCATTTGCAGTACTGTCCATGTACACTTCATATGCTATTTGCACCTCATCACCAACGCCCTGGTGATGCTGAACCATCTGACAATCTATTATTGTTTGCACTACTGTCAGTGACTGCACACGGTTTTGAGTCACAGCTTATTGGCTGTACTGTTTAGATTTCTCCCAATTATGTCAATCCAGTTCATATTCTATTCTATTCTTGTTCTACTTTATTCTATTTTAATAATTAAATGCTATGGCACCTAATACTAGGTGAGAGAGAAACGGTATCTCGATTTTCTGTATGTCCTGCAAATATAGTGAATTGACAATAAAATCCTTGAACCTTGAATAAACACACAGTATCACGAAGAATATAGCCACATTCACTGAAGAACCAGGTTGGAGAAGAGCATGCATGAGTTGAAGCTGGAATTAACACACTCCCTAGGGCTGCTGTGTTCAGGATACTGGAGAGCTGGTGGTAGAAAATATAATTTAGAGCGGATCATACTGTATATCCATTTAAACTGATCAAAATAACTCAATTACAGCAAGAAGTGTTTCCTCCCCACAGTCCTAACAGAATATGTTGTGTATATATAGCACTGCTATATATACAGTTACGTGCCTTGTCCCAGCACAAACTGCCCTGATGCATGAAAGTGTATATCAGGTTTCATAAAACCTTTGCAGCTTTAATACAAAACTCTTCATACACTGGCCATCACTCAAGACATAGCCACAGTCAGGTCTTTCTTCAACTTATCATAAGGCATTTTTGATAACATATGATTGACAACTTTGTAAATATACATCAAACATATTTTCTATTTTGTTCAATGCGCAGTAGCCTGGGGAGGTGTTGGGGGAGGGGAAAGGTGAAGGAAGGGGTTTGATCTTGTTATCCTTCTTTGTAATTATTTGTTCTGTCACTTAAGAGGAAATTAACAACAAAAATGAGGATCATGTATGTATTTTGTATGTTGATCTGGTAAATATGTGCTCCTATTAAAAATCCCTCTCACTCGCTTTGTCTCAATTTCTCTCTCGCTTTCTCACTCTCATATTTGGACTAAACAAAATCAGTGTACTTCCATTCTAGTATATACAGTATATTCATACTTATACAAAGGTCAAAGTGTTTGTCATATGCACAGTTAGGAAATGTGTTTCCCTGTACAATGAAATTCTTATTTTGCTGTCCACATGAATGCCACAAAATACAAATGAAATATAAAGTAGATGAATAAGTAACAAAACATCTAAGGTACTTTAAGCAGCAAATGAAGCAATATAATAAAAATATATAATATAATAAGAGAATGTACAGTGGGGCAAATAACTACTTGACACACTGCCAATTTTTCAAGTTTCCCCACTTACAGAGAATGGACAGTTCTGTAATTTTCATCGTTTACGGAATATGGGCTCGTAGTCACTATATGCTTGTAGTAGCACATCCATTTCTGTTGGGAAAAAACGCAGACCTATTTTGGCTTGGTCCTGTTGCCATGGTGACTCGTAATTTCTTCACTCCATTGTTCAGGGCTTTTTATAGTCGCGTGGCACGCGCCTAACTCTGAGTCAAACAACTCAGAGTTGATTAAACCAACTCTTTTCAGCTGTTCTGAAACCGAAAACTCTGAGTTTTCCAACTCTGTGTAAGTCTTTGTTAAACTGCCTTCTTGAAAATAGGCCCCTGACAATCTCCTATTATTGTTTGCACTACTGTCACTGACTGTACACAGTTTTGAGTCACAGCTTATTGGCTGTACCATTTAGATTTCTCCTAATTACATCAATCCAGTTCTATTTTATTTTTATTCTACTTTACTTTGTTTTAGTTCCTAAATGTTATGCCACTCAATGCTAGGTGAGAGAGAAATGGTATTTCAATTTTCTGTATGTCCTGCACATATGGTGAATTGACAATAAAATCTTTGAACCTTGAACCTTACTAACAGAAATTAGGGACTCTAAATGCTTGGCCAGTTTTCCTCAAATACCTGACACACAGATGAATGTGGCATAGTCTCCTTTGGCTCTCCTTGGCAGGAAAGACATCCTCTTCCTTTTCCTCCTCCATACCTCCACTGCTACCAGCATCCGTTCATCACGAGGGATGAAGACATCTTTGTTGATGGCAGACTGAATGTTCATTGTAGTTCTGAGGCCTACACAAGTAATAGATCATTTGTACTGCTTTTCATTTCAAAGGCTTAACATTTAATCAATGAATCAGAAAAATTATCTCATTATCAGTTGCTCTACCTCTATTCTTTCATTTTCCCCCCAGAAATACTTGAAAGACTAGTGTAGAATAGAATTCTTAAGCACATTTAACAGCAAAGCATTTTGTTTAAACTCTTGCCTGGATTCAGATAACAATATAAAAATTTCTACAGATATGGCTGTTATTCAGCTAGTTGATAAAATTCATACTTCTTTAAACCACCTACTTTAAATTTTATCACATCATTAAATGCCCATTATCAGTTTATCATATGGATAGGCTATGGGTTAATAGAGTCCTACTCCACCTCCTTGTGAGCTCAGTAGGCCTTTACAAAGTGCTGGACTGTCACGATAATAAACGTACCACATTAGCAGGGCCGGCCCGTGGCATAGGCAAAATAGGCAGTTGCCTAGGGCACAAAATGACCGGGGGGGTGCCAAATGAAAGTTTTTTTTCCTCGGAAGACCGCCCTCTTGTGACCATCATGCGCTCCTACACCCATAAGCAAAATAATTACTGACAGTTAACAATTTTAGTACTGATCGATCATCGTAGTGATTAAAATAATGTTAGAATAAAATAAAATTGACATAAATGAAAAACCATAAGATTTGAAAACGTCATGTACTAATTTAAACACTTTCCGCATCATGATGTAATTATAATGCATCATCATAACGCATTGACAATGCATGGAGCACGTAGTTAAAATATGTGCTCTGAAAGTACCATTTAAAAAAAAAAAATGAGTGAAAAAAGAAAATTATCAGGGGCACAAGGCAGGAAGCGACGCAAAGAAGAGGACCAGAAAAAATAACAATATAGAACTAAGAATCACAATTAATCACTGTGTATTAGCAGTATTTTTAATAGCCTTTTTAACTGGCAACACTGACACTGTGGAACATCTTTGCTTGAGTTAACTGCTTATTTAATTTTATTTTTTTTAATAAAATGTAAGCTTCTGTTTCTGTTGTTTTAATTTCAGTTACATCTCTCTGTTTGGGAGTATAGCTTACACTGTCAGAAAAAAAAATGTACAGCAGAGGTACAATTTTGTACCTAGGGGAACAAAATATATAATTGTACTCTAGTGACCTATTTTGTACCTTTAAAAAGGTACCTTTATGTACCCAAAATGTATTTTAAAGGCAGAGGTGGAAAGTCCAGGTAAAATCTTGCCTAGGGCACCAACAGAGCCTGGGCCAGCCCTGCACATTAGGTGCAGAAACTGCTGGTTGGGTTTAGGGAAACATTGTTGTTTCACTAGCAGGGACCTGCCCTCACTAAGCACAAATGAAAGTATAAGGATGAATGAATGAACTATAAGGATACTGAACCCTTGTGTATACTTAGCTGCTTGTACGCTTGATGGTTTTGGGGAAGTTTAAGGACGTCTGCTGTGCTCTCAGGCACTGGCAGATCCTCAAAACCTTCTAACAACTAAGTGCAGACTGAACGGCCAAGCGTCTTGAGGTTTAGATTGTATCTAGAGAAGATAATTTTGTTATGTCCAGCAGCCTGTGGTCTTGGTAAGGTGGTCGGGGATTCCTTCTGGGGAACCTGTTGCAGCAGCTTCAATATGGGATGAGTGGCCTGAGAAAGATCAGGGGCAATACCAGAGAGAGACTATGAACTGACAAATCATTTTGTGCTCCACATGCCCCCAAAACCAAGTGAGGTAGCTGCTAAGAAGGTTGGGCTGGGAGGAGCCAGTCATAAATATATTCAGCACTTATTTGTGAGGTAAATTCGCAATTCTTCAAATTTAACAGACTTTTTTTTTTTTTTAAATATCATGAATGTAATTTCACAATATTTACTTCCAAAAACAAAAATTACTGTCATTTTAATTCTTTCATTAATTTTATATCTCAGGTCTTATCTCCAAAATTTCTTGGTGTTTTACTGGAAAATTAAATTAGAAAAATCATATCAATTTAGGTCGCAGTAAGACAACAGCTTTGGTCAATAAAATAGTAAGTTGTTTGATTTATTGCAAAAGTTTAGTTTATCCTTACATCACATACAGTATTGCAGTATCGTTCAGGGTGTTACATATTCCACCGACTTTACAAAGATCATTTCTTTCCAGAAAAGAACAATGCAGTAGCCAAACAGTAAACTTTACACACTTTTTAATTGTTCTTTGTATTTCCAAACATAAATGTATGTTTTGTGCTCCAATTCAATGATTAAAAAGACAAATTCAGTAATCCAGGCAAAGATTGCCAGATGTGCACAACATTTGCATCTTCCAAGACTTGGAACAAAAAACTTAATTTTGGAACTTCATATGGGTCCATAGCCAGTAAACAAAATAAAACAAAACATGAATAGCAAAGGACATGCAATTAAGCATATAATAATTATTTTAAAAAATATAAAAACATTCTAGAAAAACAGTTGATACAAAAACTATGTAGCCAGTGTTTCCTAAACCTGGGAGAGTACCAAAAGCAGCTCTTCCCAGGACTTGTTAAAGACTCTAAGATGCTGTTCTCAGACTCCTCCATGGGACACATCATACAGCTTAAGAGTGTGTCATAAAGAAACCTCAGAAAATGTAAATAACTGCTTGGCACTGTACCATCTAGGAACATTCTCATAGCATCATTATAGGCTACTGTAAGCCTTTGCATACTACTCTCTTCCTATACACCAAAGATGTGTTAAATGCAAGGGTGAGCAGAAAGCTTTAAAGAAAAAACATTTAACATTGTCAGAGCACATACATGTATGTAACTTGTATGTATGTTGTGGCTTATTTCTCTTAGCATCTTCTCTGGCATTCTTTAGCAACTGACAAATATCTTGTTTATTCTATTGTTGTTGGCACATATATTTGGTTAATATTTTTGTTTGTATAATACTGTTGTGTAGTGTTTGTGCAAATGACTAAAGTAACCAAACTCAAACTAAATATTAAAACATTTTTCTTCAGCTGAAATAGCCATACTTGTATGTTTTTTTTTATTAATGTCACATTTGAAAACATTCGACTCTGTATAGTAAAACTCTAGTGGAGCCTGATATTTTCAGCTGTAGCTGTTAGACAGGGCTTTATGAACTGAATTACATTTTTGTAATTAAGTAATACATCCACAGTTAAACAAGCTTAAAAACACATTTAAGAGTCTAAAAAGAAGCAAATATGAGTTGTGAATCCATAACATATAACAGCATAATGTTTGAGCTTAGCCTACCTGTTCTTGTCCTTTTCTCCACCCAAAAGCCTGCCTCTCGACTTTAGCAGTGGTTTCTAGTCCAGTTAGTTCAATTGTAAATTTTTAGCAGCTAAAATTCATTCAGTATTCCAAGGATTCTGTCATTAATTTATAGACAGGCACACCAAATGGCATGCCTTGCTGTGAAGGCACAAGCAAACCACAGTCCATCCCATTTCAAGAGGTTGACATGCACGTGGTCAAAGGCTGTAAGTCAGAGAACAATCACCAGCTTGTTCATAGAGCTACAGCTGACTAGTACTTTCACTTCCAAGGTCAGAGGCAATGTGTGCTGCTCTGCTATGGAGACTATGGTAAATGAAGAAGTACCTAAGCAATTGTTAAAAAAGTGTGTGAAAATGTTAAATATGTTCTTTAATCCCTTTGACAATTACATAAATTCTATTAGATTTTATCAACAATTGTCAGGTCTGCTCGGCACCACCTGCCTCTATTTGTCCTTTCTCTCACTCTCTCTTCCTAGTTCTTTGTTGCAGGTCCCAGCTCCCGTGAGATGCACAGCTGAAACACATCGCCTAATTATCTACTCCCGGGATGTGGCACAGCTTAGGCACATAACCAGATGATCACCATCCTTACTGGGGGCTGCGCCCACTGTGTGAATTGGCAATACTGCAAAATTTGGTATTGATCCTGTTAGGTATTTTTAGTCAGCTAGATATTGGTCAGGTACTTGTTGTATTAGTAATGTTTAGTGGAGACAGGATGTCTAGCTTAGGCTGTTAAATGCTTAGTCATTGTCATGAGTTTTTGCAGGGTGCATATGGTCAAGGATAAAAAGTTTGACTGTCAGCAGACAGGATGTTTAATATTATTATTATGACGTTTATAATTCCCCCGGAGGAGCTGGAGGAAGTGTCTGGAGAGAGGGAGGTCTGGGCATCTTTGCTTAGACTGCTGCCCCCGCGACCCGGTCCCGGATAAGCGGACGAAAATGGATGGATGGATGGATGACAAAGTCCTCTAGTGGCTTTAGGAATTATCACTCCATCAGAAAAACAAAGTTTAGATTTTGACATGCAAGACCATTTTGTCTCACAAAATAAAATGATATGAAGTGATATCACAGTAGCTATTGAGTCCGCATTTCAACAGATCGATCGACATGACTGGGGACTGTGTGATTACAACTGAAAGCTAATAAATACATCTATAAGTAGACCATGGGTTGGGACTGTTTTGTCAAGCATCAAATGAAAAAAAATGACCAGAGTTAGCATGGTACAAGAACCGGAGGACTTTGAAAAATATTACCCAGTTCTTTTAACCAGGAACTCAGAGAGACGACGCGGACCACTTGGATATATAAAAAAATAACCGTGCTGGTTTGTTCAAAGGATCACAGGCAAAATTAACATTACACGTCCAGGCCAAACCTGCGCGCAGGCAGCATGGAGGAAAAAAGACCCTGAACCCAAGATCTCTATACAATTTTATCCCTTGGTTGGGCTAGCCCATGCTACACAGGAACGTCAACCGTGACGTCACCTGATATGCCAGCTTCACAGCTGGCCGTAGCAGTAGTCAAAACATGGAGAGAATCAATGTGTGTGACTGTTGATTTCGTGGTGTGTATCTAAAAACATACAGGACATTCAGGGACATGTCCGAACAGTAAGCCTCGGAAGATATTATGATTAAGATTATGGCTGAACATATCATGCTACTAACAATACCCTCCTGCCTGCAGACTCTTCAATCTCGTTGACCTTGGCCTAGATGCAGCCTGCAGAACTCATGACAGTGAACTAAGCATTTAACAGCCTGAGCTAGACATCCTGGCTACACTTAAACATTCCTATACAACAAGTATCTAATCAATATCTATCTGACTAAGAAATTACCTAACAACTTCAATCCGATACCAAGTAAATACAGGACCAGTATTGGTGATACCGATACTTTTTTACTTATAAATGTGTGTATTTTTCAGTTCCAGTAAAATAATTCATTTAGATTTATTTCAGCTGCCTGAATATATTATATGACTGTCTGAATTGTCTATATTTAATCAGCCTGCTAAAATTATAAATCTTGTTAGAAATTAACCGATTCTTTTGTTGGAAGCACGAGAAGTGAAGACAGGAGAGGACTGTTTAAAATCAACAGAAAGTTTACTGGAAGTCTGAGCACAGGTTAAGTCTTACAGCGCTGGATTCAGAGAGACAGAGCTCCCGCAGGAAAACTAGCTTCTGAATCCTGAATTATGTTTTACAATACATTTTATTCTCTTGGGTTGCTCCGCCCTGGATAGAGGTACGACACTCAACACTTTGTAATCCTATTTGGTGTAAGCCGGCGCTCTCACCTCCTTGTTGGAATGTGGTAAAATCTAGGTGTGTGTGTGTGTGTGTGTGTGTGTGTCTCCGGCACCCTAATCTTGATCAAGGTGCACTGATCAATGGGTGGTCTGGGTTGCAGGCCCCGAGTGTGTGATGCTAATTTTTTTAACTGGCCAAGTGGTCATCTCAGGTTGTAGGCCCCCTGTCTCTGCAGGACCCCATGACAAAGCAGAACTTGGGATATGCTAAGTGGGTCTAGGTGTGGGTGTAAAACAGGCCAATGGGTCTTTGTTAAAATGTAAATAGGCTGTCTGGTTGGTTGGAGATGCAGACATCTTGTCTCTACAGAAGTTACAGCATTCAAAGTAAACAGATTCTACTTCATTATCACTTGATTATCACTTTATTTTCATCAAGATATAATGGGTGGTCTGGGTTGCAGGCCCCGAGTGTGTGATGCTAATTTTTTTAACTGGCCAAGTGGTCATCTCAGGTTGTAGGCCCCCTGTCTCTGCAGGACCCCATGACAAAGCAGAACTTGGGATATGCTAAGTGGGTCTAGGTGTGGGTGTAAAACAGGCCAATGGGTCTTTGTTAAAATGTAAATAGGCTGTCTGGTTGGTTGGAGATGCAGACATCTTGTCTCTACAGAAGTTACAGCATTCAAAGTAAACAGATTCTACTTCATTATCACTTGATTATCACTTTATTTTCATCAGTACAATTGTAAGATGTATAAGCAAGGAAAATAAATGTATTAAAAATAACCAAAGCTCAGTGGTTCTGGACAGTCATCAATACAGCTGTAATGTGTATAAACAAGGAAAATAAAGTTATGAAATGTAACTAAAGCTTATAAAGTAACTAGAGCTTATAAGAATCGAATCTTACAATTTGATGACCAATTCCACTTTTGAAAAATAACTAAGTAATGCTTGGGGTGACTAAATCTTATTTTCACTTTTATAAATTAGCTGGCGCAGTGGTTAGCACCGTTGCCTCACAGCAAGAAGGTTCCGGGTTCGGGCCCCACCCGGGACCTTTCTGTGTGGAATTTGCATGTTCTCCCCGTGCTTGCGTGGGTTCTCTCCGGGTATTCCAGCTTCCTCCCAAAGACATGCAGCTTAGGTTGATTGATGTCTCTAAATTGCCCATAGGAGTGTGTTGGATACCCAGTTGTTTTTCACTTAAACGTGAATCTTACGTCCCTTATTGGTATCAAATTCTGTAATCAACGGCACTCATTCTCTATCCCTCAAAGTGAGACTATATGCTTATTAACTCTTACATGTGTCAGGGAACAGATCAGCACATCATTCCAAAACAAATGTGTTTTATTATCCTTACTGTTTTGAATCCAATTTGAAACGTTGAGAGTGGGCAGTCCACACATCAACAAAATTAGGTAAAATTCAATGTGCAGGTGTTTATGTATAAACAAAGGTTCCTGCCTTACCTCATTTCTGGTCGACCAGTTGATGTGTGGGACCGCAGCACAGCTTTGACAGAGACCCAGGAAGTCCTTGGAATCCCAGCCAATTTAGGACTGAATGTTGGAATGTTGGATTTACAGCTCAGCCAGACATGGATTACAGCACCATGTGTTGGTCCGGGACAATGGACTGGTACTCTGAGAGTTCAGCCGGCTCACAAGGTCACGGCACCAATTGTTGGCGACCCAGTTCTTTTCACCATTAACTCTGAGAGACGAAGCAGTCCAAGTAACTTCAGAACAGTGCTGATTTATTCAATGATCACAGGTAAAATTAACATTACACGCTCAGGAGTCTTTGCACCTCCAACATGCACGCAGGCAGCTGAAAGATGAAAAGCCCTGAACCATAACAGGCCTATACATTATATCACCTCGGGCTAACCCCATACTACAGGGATGCCAAACCGTGACGCCTCCTGGTGCCAGCTTTGCAGCTGGCCAGAGCAGTAAAATGGTAAATGGACTGTATTTTTTATATAGCGCTTTTTCACAGTGTGTTGCACTGGCCAAAGCACTTTACAGAAGATCATACAACATTCACACACCGATGACGACAGGCTGCCATGCACCGGCGCTAGTCAAGCCACCGGGAGCAATTTGGGGTTCAGTGTCTTGCTCAGGGACACTTAGGCATGCGGGGAGACCGGGAGTCAAACCACCAATTTCATGAGCCACAGCCACCAGTAGTCAAAGCATGAAGAAAATCAATGTGTGAATGTTTGTTGATTATGTGGTGTGTAGCTAAAACATTCTGAGGACATTAAGCATAAGAAAATATTATGACTACAATTATGCTCAAACACGTCATAATAATATTAAACATTCTGTCTCCTAACAATAATCAACTTTCTGTCTAGTTATCCTTGAACCTGAACAACCTGGAGTACCCCATGAGAATGACTAAGCATTTAACAGCCTGAGCTAGACATCCTGTCTACTCTAAACATTTCTAATACATAAAATATTTAACCAATATCTATCTAACTAAAAATACCTAACAAGTGCTAGTGTGTGTGCGTGTGTGTGGTTGTTTGTCTATGTGTTAGCCCTGTGATGGATTGGTGACCTGTCCAGGGTGTACCCCACCTTCACCCGATTGCTGGCCGGGATTGGCTCTGTGACCCCGTTCAGGGACTAAGTGGTAGAAAATGAATGATATTGTTGACCATGTTGAAAGGCCTCTCTCTGCCAGTGATATCTGTTTCAGTGCTGGGGGCCTGGTTTAGGGATCTCCCTCCTCCTCCCTCCATTTACTTCGCAGCTTGGAGTTCTCTTTCTGGTGTGTTTTAATATGTTTGTATAAATTTGTGGTGTTGCCACAATAGTGGATTTGTTGTCCACAGACATCGCAGTTTGCAGTGCTTTTGTCTGCAGCTGCAAAATAGCTCCAAACAGCGCTCTTCTTTTTCTCTGCCATCATGCAGCCAGCAGAACGTCATTGAGTTAACTGCACAACAACTCACAGCAGGAGAGGGGGAAGGGCAAAGTGAGCATGAGCGAAGTGAGAGGAGCGTAGTGATGTGTAATTTAAGTGATGAACTGGTAATGAACCATTTCCATTATGCTGAAAAAAACTTAGAAGTTTAGGGCAGGGTGTGATTATGTAAGTGGGATGGAGATTCAAAGATTTTTATTGAGAAACAATTTTTTCACATTACTAAGCGTCT